AATAATTCTACATAATTTCTGAAAAGACAATCTTTTAGAAGCAAGTACAGAAATGCTCTAAAACGTGAAACTGCCGTAAAGGAGAATTATGAGGACAGTGAAATACACTCATCCCCATAATTAGAGCAGATGAGTGACACTGAAGCTGTCACAGGTCAGCTCTATGCATTGAGAACTGTGCAATCACATACTGCACGCTCGCTCAGTTCCCAATCATCTCCCTGCAGAGAGCAGTGACTCCCCTCTCTGTTCCAGCACCGAGTGGAGGAATGGACAGAGAAGGCAGGGGGTAGGGGGGGCACATCTGGCTCTAGAGAAGCAGAGCCCCCTGTCAATCAGGTAGCAGGGTGGATCCCAACACTATTGTCAGGATCCATCCCAGCTGCAGTGTGACTCTGCGCTGTTAGCATATAGTGGGCAATAGCCCGCTATATGCTGAGTTTTGGGTCACAAGAGGACATTAGTATATGTTGTACAGTGACCCTAAAGAGAATTATGGCAAAAAAAAAAAAAAGGTTAGGCCATAGTTCTCTTTTAACTACTTCAGGAATATATTAGTGCTGGTAATGATTACAATTTTCGTGTTCGATTAATCGAAATTTTTTAAAATCAATTAATTTTGATTAATTAAAACGCGCATACAGATCCAACTACATTGGCCTATACACATACAGCACAGCAATGAAGTAAAAAAAAAAAAGGAACTAGGATCACTCTAATCCTGCACGTTATTAATCTCATGTGCCCCACTCAATATGGCCGCCGCTTGAGTGGGGCAACTCAGGATAATAACATTCTGGATTAGTGTGATCCTAATTCATTTTATTACTTCATTGCTGTGCTGTATGTGTATAGGCCAATGCCTTGGCTGGCGCTCGTGCAGAAAGTTTCTTGGGCAAACTCACCGGCCCAAGTGGCTCCGTTGGCTAACGAAGGGGGAGGACTCTGGTGATGTCACGGACATCGACGTCACCGGACTCCTCTTCCCTTTGTTAGCTGTCACCAGACTCCTCCCCTTCCCTTCATTAGCCGACAGAGCCACTTGGGGAAGGGGGAGGAGTCCGGTGACGTCGATGTCCGTGACATCACCGGATCGCCGACTTGACTCCTGGAAGCCGGCGGAGAGGTGAGTGTTTTCATTAAAAGGATGCCACATTGTTTGATGGAAATAAAAAATTATCAACTTACAGAGGGCTGAATACAAAGACACCCCAAAAATCAAAGTGAACAAATTATGCAGCAGGCTATTCCATTGTGCTGAAATGTAATTGCAGCAACTCAAAATGGTACTCGTTAGTTTGTATGGCCCCCACATGCTTGTATGGATGCCTGACAACGTGGGGGCATGCTCCTAATGAGACAACGGATGGGGTATCTCCTCCCAGATCTGGACCAGGGCATCACTGAGCTCCTGAACAGACTGAGGTGGAACCTGGCGGCTTCGGATGGACCGAGGCATAATGTCCCAGAGGTGTTCTATTGGATTCAGGTCAGGCGAGCGTGGGGGCCATTCAATGGTATCAATTCCTTCATCCTCAAGGAACTGGCTGCATACTCTCGCTACATGAGGCTGGGCATTGTCATGCACCAGGAGGAACCCAGGACCCACTGCACCAGTGTAGGGTCTGACAATGGATCCAAGGATTTCATCCCGATACCTAATGGCAGTCAGGGTGCCATTGTCTAGCCTGTAGAGGTCTGTGCGTCCCTCCATGGATATGGCTCCCCAGACTATCACTGATGTTTGGCTCCTTTAAAAATCATAACAGAAATCACCCAAATGGCCCTGATCAAAAGTTTACATACCCTGGAATGTTTGCCCTTGTTACAGACACACAGGTTAAAATGGCAATTAAAGGTTCTTTTCCCACATCTGTGGCTTTTTAAATTGCAATTAGTGTCTGTATATAGTCAATGAGTTTGTTAGCTCTCACGTGGATGCACCGAGCAGGCTAGATACTGAGCCATGGGGAGCAGAAAAAGACCTGCGTAACAAGGTAATGGAACTTTATAGATGGAAAAGGATATAAAAATATATCTAAAGCCTTGAAAATGCCAGTCAGTATTGTTCAATCACTTAAGTGGAAAATTCGGGGATCTCTTGAAAAAAAGATTTAACCACAAGGGACGTAGGGGCTTTTTTTTTCAGTTAGAGCGGTTAAAGTCCTGAACTTGCTGCCACAAGCAGTGGTATTAGCTGAGAGTACTGAATCGTTCAAAAAGCATTTAGATACCTTCCTCAGAGACCATAACATACAGGGATACAGGTACTCTTAAAAACAAGATCACACAGGGACTTGTGTATACACACACATACACAATCACACACAGAAAGGTTGAACTTGATGGACCTGTGTCTTTATTCAACCTCAAATACAGTGGCGGAACTGCCAGAAGAATTGTTCAGGGATACAAAGAAAAACCCCACGGATACCAGGAAATACAGGCTGCTCTGGAAAAAGACGGTGTGGGTGTTTCAAGGAGCACAATACAACAATACTTGAACAATAATGACCTGCCTGGTCTAGTTGCCAGAAAAAAAAAAAGCTTGGTTACAACATGCTCGACAACACCTTGACATGACTCACAGCTTCTGGAACACTAATTTGGAGTGAGGAGAGCAAAATAGAGCTTTATGGTCACAACCATAAGCGCTATGCTTGCTTGGAGAGGGGTCAACAAGGCCTATAGCGACAAGAATACCATCCCTACTGTGAAGCATGGTGGTGGCTCACTGATGCTGGGGGGGGGGGGGCTCTAAAGGCACGGGGAATCTTGTGAAAATTGATGGCAAGATGAATGCAGCATGTGATCAGAAAATACTGGCAGACAATTTGCATTCTTCTGCATGAAACCTGCGCATAGGACGCTCTTTCCAGCATAATAATGACTCTAAGCACAAGGCCAAGTTAACCCTCCAGTGGTTACAGCTGAAAAAAGTGAAGGTTCTGTGGTGGCATCACGGTCTCCTGACCTTAATATCATCGAGCTACTCTGGGGAGATCTCAAAACGTGCAGTTTATGCAAGACGACCAAAGACTTTGCATCATCTAGAGGCATTTTGCCCAGACGAATGGGCAGCTATACCACCTGCGAGAATTCGGGGCCTCATAGACAACTATTACAAAAGACTGCACGCTGTCATTGATGCTAAAGGGGCAATACATAGTATTAAGAACTAATGGTATGCTGACCTTTGAACGGGGGTCATGCAATTTTTTTTGTTTCACGTTTGTGCCATTCTGTTATGACCTACAGTTGAATATGAATCTCATAAGAAATAAAAGAAATGTGTTTTGCCCGCTCACTCATGTATTCATTAAAAATGGGACATATATTACCAATTCTCAGAGGGTATGCAAACTTTTGAGCACAACTGTACATACTAGGGATGCACAGATATATCGGCCGCCGAAACATATCGGACATGGGCCTCGCAGAGGACTGAAATGTTTTATCTGTAACTAACAGTAATGTTACTTTTCATTCCGTTTGGGACCGTGTTATTGTTTACTATCACCATTTAGGGCTTGTTCACACCAATTGCGGTGCGTTCCAGAGCAGTAGCTGCTGAAACGCATCACAATCGCTCAATAGCCTGACCAATTTTTTGCGTTTGCAGTGAAACGGAACGCAGGCAATGTTTTGCCACGCGTCCGATCGCACTGCGGGTGGGTGGGGCTTGGCTGTGTTCCCATTGACTTCAACGCACTGCCGCGCCCCCTACCGCCCCTGAACGGGGGGGATTTTGTGAGCGATTGTGGTGCGTTCCAGCAGCTACCGCTCTGGATGCTGGATACTTTAATAGAAAGCCTTCAGTGAGGAAACAAAGGCTGCCATTGCTTATTTCTCCGAACCCTCCTAGCCCCCTGGCTGCCATAGAAATCAAGCACCAAAATCAGAAGGAATTGCAAGTCATCGGAGGGTCTGTTGACTTGCAACTGTACCTTTCGATCCATTTTTCAACAGATGCCAATGGAAGGGCACCGAAAAAAAATGAATGGGTGTGAATGGGGCTAGTTCACACAGAATCCGCTGCATTCCGTTGAAAAGAAAAAAAAAAAAGAAAAAAAGTGCAAGTTCTACTTTTTTGTTGATACAACATAACAGAGCGGTGTGAACTAGCCCCATTTACACACATTCATTTTTTTGGTGCCCTTTTATTAGCATCCATTGAAAAAAGGATCACCCTGCAACGCATCTGGCGTGAATGGGCCCTCAAGTCACAAACTTGACACAAGTATCTAGAATATAAATCCCAACTTCAATATGACTTTTCTGATTTGATTATTTTTTCCCAGGACAGTGTCAGGCAACTGGCATTTTTAGAAGTAGGTCAACAATAGCATCCTCCTCCTCTTAATGCAGGTTTCCTCTAAAAGGAATATTCAACAGAGAAAAGAAGATAATGACATTGCCAACTTGTTTCTGAAGTCTGTCATCCTTATCCTCTCTTTACTACTTGGTCAGTCACCGACTTGAGGCAAGTATATGTATATTAGATGTCAGGACACCTCATATGCACATTCCTATTCTGGGTTAGAGACTCAGGCCCCGTTCACACCTTTCCGTTTTGTCGGGCGTTCAACGCTCTATGAACGCTCTACAAAACGTACAACCATGAAAATCCCATTGTTTTCTATGGGTATGGTTCACACCTTTCCGTATTTCCGCCCGTCTGAACGCCCTACAAAACGGCTGACGCCCAAACAAGTACGAGGGCGTTTTGGAGGGCGTTTTGGAGGGCGTTTTCCATTGGGATACAGCCAAGTAGCCTTCGGGGTCACGCGAATCGCGGTAAAAAACGCGTGACGGTCGCGCGACAGACGTGCATGCGTAATACGCCTAGGTGTGAACCCAGCCTTACTGAGTAGTGACGCATAACAATCCCAAACCTTTCAAACACATGCCAGCAATGGCCCTACTATTTGTATGCAATACAGGATCAGAAAACACTAAAAGAAACAGGACACGTCCTTAAAAGAAAATTCATCATTTCAAATAAATGTGATTGTATTTATATTTCCCAGACACAAATAAAAACAAAAAAAGAAAGAAAAATAATAAATAATCCCTTGGCTGAGGAGGCAGGAGAGTTGTCACACAGTCTGAGACGATGCTCGGCTGGTATCTGCTGTAGTGACGCGGTTTACTGCACTGGTAGGCAAGGCCAGGGATACCAAGAATCAGCCTTCACTGCAGGAAGATGGTGCAGCATCTGCTGTGAGGGGTGACTGTTAGGGCACTCTCTGGAGACTGGGCTAAGCCTTGGATGTCCCTGCCTGGGCCGCTGTCAATTGCTGGATTTTTATACTCATCATCTCTATGACAGCTGCGGAGATAACAGAAAAACAGGTCACTGATCAATGTGCAAGGCAAGGAGGAAAACAACAACAAAACTTCTGCAACATTTATTTATTCATTAAAAAATTATCAGATTTCTCTTTGTGTGCCCACATTTCCAGGACATGCTTGTTCTATTCAGTCTGCATATCCACTACAAACCTAACAAAAATATAAGTTGTCACCTCTTAAATACAAAAGAAGGCCTTACCTTGTTTCATGCCATGCTTTTCCTGTAGAGCTGGCTGAATCTTCTCGATTTGCTTTGTAAGGAAGTCAATCTTCCTCTTAAAGAAATCTTTGGCATCTTCAGCAGTCTAAAAGAGAGATTTACCAATTCACAGAGATGAAAAAAATATTTACAAGCATAATGCAGCACAACTGAACCACAATGCAGGAACCAAAATTCAGAGTTAGGACTTACCGGTAACTCTATTTCCATTAGTCTTCCAGGACAGCATCACGAGATGGAATCTCCTCCCCCACACACAGGAAACACGTCACTTAATCTGTTTAAAAGACCCTCCTCTCCTCCACTCCCTCAGTCATCACGAGAACCGAAGGCAAGCTGGAAAAAGACAAGGCACAAACAGGCAATACCACTACATCACATTAACACTACAAGCATGCTTCTGGAACGAATTATGCTCTTAAACCAAGGTATCACTGTATCGGTGTACAAGCTGCAAGTAAAGACTCAATTATTGTTATTATTTTAAAGGGAGGCGATTATGATTTCCTGATATTTACACCAAGATATCTAATAAGCTCTACTATCACTATACCAGATATAATCTTAGCTGATAGCTAGAAATAAACATACCTTCTCTACATAGTATCCAGTTCCCACATCTACTAGCACATTAGAGACATTGCTAAGTGTTCCAGGCACATACATCTGTTGCGTGTAGGAGGTAAGGAAAGTAACATATCCATACTCATATTCCTCTGTGGCAGTGATAAAGCCCCAATATGATTATCAGTAATTCCCATTCAATCTGCAGTTTTTTTCGGTTTGCTGGATATGCTAAACGATGAGGACCTAAAGTTTATGTTATGAAAGACAAATGACAGGATAACTGACCTCCTTAGGAGAATGCTAGGGGACTGGCCATTATGCTGACCCACTAGCTTTAACACTTTGTCACTTAGCTGGGACAATATTGCAGACCACAAAAGTCAGAACTTATTAGGTCCCAGGTCAGTGTTTCAAAATACTGAAAGAATAGGGAAAGGCAATACATGCACCCATCTTTTAAGGGCTTGTTCACATGATGTCCGGATTCTGCCCGGACCAGAACTGTGCGCTCCTGCACCCAAAATGCATCCCAATGTCTCCCTATGTGTTTTATGGGCTACAGTTCTCACCAGCACAGTACGTTCCGGACAGAAAAAAATACTGCAGGTCACATTTTCTCCGGTCCGGAAATGCACAAACGCGTCAAAAACGCGCCGCATTGCGGCTGACAGCCCCACTCCAAAAAAAACTGCACGCATAGCACCGCATCTGCAGATCTGCTCCAGATCTGGACCAGAAAATGGGGGTGAACAAGCCCTAAATATTGCTTCCCCGCATACAGTGGATAAAAAAATATTTGCATTGAGATTACTTTCCCCACATGACAGCAAAGCTCCGGCATTCAACTCTCTCTGTGGAGCTTGTCTACAGTTGTTTTGTTTTTTGTTTTTAAGGTCGAACCATGCCATAGAGATATGGACGTTGGTGGGATGATGTCACGCGGGAGACTTTAAAAAATGTTTGTTTTTAAAATTATTTTTACATTTATTTAATTTGATACTATTTTTAAAAACTGTTATTTTTATTTACTTTATTTGAATTGCTATCACATAAGGGCTTACAAGCCCCCCATATGATAGCAGATTAGTGGTGACAAGTACTCTTTAAGGTGACCCCTAGTATCACCTTTCCACTCTCAATAAGCTATTGAAGTGCAGATCGCACTTCAATAGCTTATAGCTGGGCTAAGGAGCCAAACACCGACATCTATGGACCAGAAGTGATGCAATACGTGTCGCACCCGGTCCCATAGTACGGGGAGGAAATCGGTGAACGAACATTCGTCACTCTCCTCCCCACCGACACCCATGAAGCCGGGAAACACGGCGTGGTTGTTGGGTGGGGGGACGAACCGTTCACCGGCCCGGGGAAGCGATCTGGCGACAGCTGAGTTGCCAGTAGCGCATTTATTGTAAAGCCGACGGTCGGGTTTACAAATGTAAACAGAGTCCCAGCGGCCAAGGTCTGTTTAACCCCTTCGTGACTGACGATGTACGTCGCCAGCATCGGGGCTTTTTAAACAGAACAAAAACAGTTTTTAACATTAAAATTAAATAAAATAAATCTAATAATAAAACATTTTTAAAAGTCCCGCGCCCCTGCGAGCACGCGCGTCGCCACGTAAACACGCGTCGGGTGCGCCTACATATGAAAACGACAAACGCGCTACACATGTTGGGTATCGCCGCGCACGCCGAAGTGAGAGCAATAATTCTAGGGCCAGTATTTTGGGATATCTCTAAATTGATGACCTGTGGGGGCTTTTAAAGCGTCTTCTGTGGACTTTTTAGGGTACTGCAGTTTTCGCCGTTTCACGGATGCACGCAATTTGTAAACTGGGCATGTTGGGTATGTTGGGTATCGTTTTACTCGTTATAACCTCATCTTTTATATTTAATTTAAAAAATGGGTATTTTGTTGTGTTTTGGGGCATTTAATTAAATTTATCACTAAATTTGGGGGTTTAATAAGGAGTTGCGCTAATATTGCGCAACATAAAAATGTGCAACTACCACCATTATATTGTATAGGGCATTCAGAAAATATATAATGTGTGGCGGTTTTAAGTAATTTTCAGGCCTAAAATGTGGAATATAACATGGGTGCAAAAAATGAAAAAAAAAAGGCCTCAGCCATGAAGGGGTTAAAGGGGCCCGGTGGCAGTGACGTACTATGGACGTCACTAAGATCTAACTCCAGCGTTTAGTGTCACTAATATTGTCAAATGTTATTCTGAGCTGGAGAAACCAGAAGGAGCTTCAAATCAGATTACTGCAGGTGGCAAAGTACCATTCCTTTTCATTTGACCCTGGCTACATTGTAAAAAAACAAACAAAAACAAAACCCAATTGTGGTTCTTAAACCAATGGCCTCCTCCATAGTAAGCAGATGGAGTAACACGTCATTAAAAAATCTTTACTTTACAGGAACATATATTTAGACTTCCACAGCCAGGTAACCAATATGTTTACCGTACTGTTCTGCAGAATACAGTTCTATGTCATTTAGATATTAGACAACAACACAATGAAGCAAGCGAAAGGATACAGAACTGGTCAGAGGAACAAGCATTTGTTTCCCTGTAAAATAAAAGGAAGAAAGTAGTTAGTAATGTCTGCATCACACTCCATAACGCGAACAGCATTCGCATCTATATTCCATATACTGTGCAAGTGTCAAAGAGCTAAATGCAAAGTGCTGTAACCAATAGCTACGGACCTAGCAAGATCAAGGCACCAAAAGGTGGATTCGTGGATTCCATGGGTACTGCACTGGGAAATTAGTGTTTTGCTACTTGGACGTTTACTGAATAAACTGGAAATGATTCGGTCACCTACCTTCATTACTTTTATTTAGAACATTCAGACTTTCCTTAGCCTCTACAAACTTGGTCTGCACCACTTTTAACTGAGCAATGGATGAAGACAGGAACTCAATTTCCTAAAGGGAAAGAAACAGACAGAATGAAAGATATTGCAAAGCATCAGGTTGGCCCTATCTCAGCATTGTAGAATACGTACCATGTATCAGCAGTGCATGTTAAGGACATTTTAGAGACTGAAAAACATTAAAGCAGAGCTTTGGCCAAACTTTTTCTTAACCCTTGCAGTGGGGCTACCGCTACTGCAAGGGTTAAAAGGAGAACTATGGGGTCAGTGCTTTTCCCCATAGCTCTCCTAAGGGTCACGGGAGGACACAAACTAGCGTCCTCCCGTCACCCAAAACTCAGTATACTGCAGGTTGCAGTATACTGAGACCGCCGCAGCCGGAACGGATACCGACATTACTGTCTGGATTCACCCAGCTGCGTGAGCGACAGCTGGCTCTGCCTATCTAGAGGCAGAGCCAGCTGTACCCGCCCCCTCCCCCGTTCGTTCCTCCAGTCAGCGCTGGAGGATCGGAGTGGGGAGATCCCTGCAGGGAGCTGTGAGTGACAGTCACGGCTCACTGCAGGTACAGGATCGAGAAGTGAGCGAGCGACGGTATGCATTCACTCACTTCCCGATCTATTGAGCCGACCTGTGACAGTTTCATTGTTACACGTCAGCTCGAACTATGAGGCTGAGTGATTTCCACTCACCTCATAGTTCTATCCGACCTGTGACAATGAGACTGTCACAGGTCGGCTCAGTAGATTGGGAGGTGAGCGAACACATACCGGGTTTGCTCACCTCTCGATCCTGTCACGGCTGGATTCCCCCCGCTCCGATCTGCCAGCGCTGACTGGCGGAACGGACGGGGGAGGGTATAGCTGGCTTTGCCTCTAGATAGGCAGAGCCAGCTGTCAGTCACGCAGCTGGGCGGATCCTGTCATCTAAGTCGGGATCTGCTCCGGCGTCTCAGTATACCGCAAGCTGTAGCGAGCTGTATACTGAGCTTAGGGTAATGGGAGGACGCTAGTTTGTGTCCTCCCGTTACCCTAAGGAGAACTATGGGGAAAAACACTGACCCCATAGTTCTCCTTTAATTGCTTGTTTGTGTCTAGCTACAAAAATAAAGTTCTACTCATCTGATCTGGAGCCTCTCTCCCCTCCGATGCAGTGGTCTAAAGTCCTGTGAGTCATCACTTTCTAGACAGTGTATTGGATGTGAGGACGCCGAGGGACATACCATTGCTGCAGTGGAGGAGGAGAGGCACTGGAAGAAGGGCTGTCACGGCCGGCCAGCTCTGAGGATCAACTAGACACAAATGAACACTTCCCCCCTTGCAGTACAGGGGTACCTAAACGGCCAGACGGGAGACTTGTAGATGTGGGTGGCCATTTTAGGATGTCCCTCCCTGCCCCAACTCGTGCACGGTGCTCAGCACCACACACAAGAGTGGGGAAACTGTCCAAAATTAAACAGCCAGCGATGTAGAGACACCCGATCGCTTATATTTTCTGCGGGTGTGTGCCCCCCACCAGATCTCTGCTTCATCAGCTTCTCTGGGGGTCCCTTGGTTACTTTAGGGGTTTTAGAGACCCTTGATGTCTCCATAAAGAGGACCTATTACATACATTGGCTATCACATAGGGGGATAACAAACCCCCTATGTGATAGCAATAAATTTAAGCGTAAAAAAAAAAAAAAAAAAAAAAAATTCCCATCCCCCACATACACACGCAAACATGCGTCAGGTGCACCTATGTGCAAAAACATCAATCACTGATAATACTAAACTGATGAGCAGTAAAAGCTTTTAAAGTGTCGCCTATGGGACATTTTGGGTGTTGTAGTTTTTTTGCAAGCGCGCTTGCGCAATTTTAAGGCTTGACTTGTTTGGTGTCCGACGTATGATAAATGCCGCCAGCACACCTATGTCGTGTCAATAATCCATCTTCTTTATTGATGCAGACTGTCAAAAAAACAACGTTTCTGGGCCACGCAGGGTCCCCTTCATCAGGTTTAGTATGACATTTCAGAGGGAAACAGGTTTTTTTTGTCTTCTAAATTTTAAGTCGTTTTTTTTTGTTATATAGTAAAAAATAAAAACCCCAGTGGTGATTAAATACCATGAAAAGAAAGCGCTACCGGTCCCTAAAAAATTGTGTAAAATTCATTTCAGTACAGCGTTGCATGACGGAATAAATGTCAGTCAAAGTACCGCAGCGCTGAACACTGAAAATTGGCCTGGACAGGAAGGGGGTTTAACACCGCGGACTTCAAGCGTTTAAAGAAAAGGTTTGCCTGGAGGTGTTCTATAAGGAACGCTTGGTCTGGAGAACTGAACCCCTCGATTTAATACCCGTCACTAATCACAGGTTCCAGCGAAATTCCTTTTACAACCTAAAATATATTGGAAGCCCCCTAGTCAGTGTGAATGGAGCCTCAGTGCATTGATAAGAGACATTAGAGCTGCAGCTAACGATTATTTTCAAAATCGATTAGTTAGCCGATTATTAAGTTCGATTAAATCGGTTAAAAAATAAAATACATTTTTTAAAAAATGGCTCCAGTGATGGACTACTAGTTTGTATTGAGATTGCAGTCCATCACAGGAGCAAGCTTGGAGCGGTGGAAGTAAAAAAGAAAAACAAAAAAGTGTGGTGTGCAATATAGTGAAATGTAAAATTATACAGCAATGATGAAGACTGGCACCGGCTATAGAGGACTGCAAATCCCAGCAATAGTACATTATACAGCACAATGCAGAATATCACCAGCTATAGAGGAATACAACAAAACACAGCAATAGTACATTATAGCTGGCGGTATTCTGCATTGCGCTGTATAATGTATTATTGCTTGGATTTGTTGTACTCCTCTATAGCTGGTGGTATTCCACTTTATAATGTATTATTGCTGGGATTTGTAGTCCTCTATACAGCGCAATACAATACAGAATACCACAAGCTATAGAGGAATACAACAAATCTCAGCAATACATTATACATACAGTGTATAATGTATTGCTGGGATTTGTAGTCCTCTATAGCTGATGGTATAATATACAGCAGAATGTACCATCAGCTATAGAGGAATACAAATCCCAGCAATACATTATAGAGCACCATGTGGGGGAGTGCAGGCTTACCTGAGCAGTCTTCCAGCAACTTACTTCTACCCGCGTCCCTGTGCCGATCGTGGGCGGCCGGTGAGCGTGAGGCATGGAGGAGGTGCTGCGTGTGGAGCGTAGATGCGGCCGGGCGGGTCTGGCAGCAGCGAGCGTGAGGTGGGGAGGAGGTGTGGCGCGCAGCGTGTGTGGAGCCGTGAACAGGGCCAACCAATCAGAAGCCGATTAATCGATGATTGAAAAAGTTGACAACTTTTTCAATAATCGATTATAATCGACTATGTCGATTAGTTGTTGCAGCCCTAAGAGACATTGTTACCTTATCCATTCAGGCCAAAGTGACAGTGTCTGCAAAGTTGCTCCGTCACCCCAATAATCCTCACCTTGTCATTGGGTGGCAGGGGCTTTGCCCTGAATTGGCAATGTAACACAACAACCATGAATAGAGTGTCACCTGAAATCTGGTTACTATGAATGACTGAACCACTAAATAAGCCTGAAGAGTTCTCATGGTGGAATCATCCTTCAACCGATCTGACACACCGAATGTGCACATACTGACCCCAATGAAGACATTACATCTAGCACCATGCAGACAAGGCATGCATAATGCAGAGGGAGTGCTGTGATATATAGTACTACACCCCAGCTCCATGCCTGCACCGCAGCTACTCTGTATCCAGGCCATGGTACGGCACATTTACCTGGTCCAGCTGACTTTTCAGGCCCTCTAGCTGAGGCAGAGACAGCTCGGTGATGTTCACAGTCTGCGCCATCTTGGAGGAGGAAAGGCCCCTCCCTGCGAATCAGTAACGAATTCTTCCCATGCAGCACAAGGACCCCCCGGAAGTGACGTAGTAGACGGGAGAGGAGGGGCGTTGCTTCAGTCGATTCGAGGTAGGGCGGTGCTTCTATAAGGGAAAGGCGAGGCGAGGCGAGCGAGAGTGTGGGGTGGGCACAATCGTACTCCTAGTCAGCTTGTCCCAGAGATGTGATGCTGAATTTGCTGATGGTCGGCTATAGTGGGGTGCAGCTAATGGGGTGTAGTGGGGGTACACTGCGTAATTTGCCGGGTGTATTGGAGTGCATGTTGGGATGTCAACTGGATTTCCAAAAGTGATAGTGTGTGTCAGCACCAATTCAGAGATGATTTGAGGATCTACAGCCCAGTGATACACAAATAAGATACATTTCTGTTATAAGTTATGGTACTTGAATGTTCGTGGGCGCATCTAATTTTTTTTGCTAGTTTTAATTTTGTTTTAACTTAAAAAAAAAAAAAAAAATAACTTGGGGATAAGGGGAGTGTGTAGATTTAATTGGGCAATTCCATTTTCCCAAATTACTTGGGAAAGTGAACTTGCCCTTTTAATTATGACACACAGTGGAATGGGGGCAGCACTCACACACACAATACCCTATGCATGCGTTTATTCGCATGCAGATGTGGGGTGCGGGGTTGTTTTTCTATTAGGGATGCACCGTTACCAGTTGTTCGGTATTGAGTACGAGTATCAATATTTTTTTTTCCGGTACTCGCCAATACCGATCCTGGAAGTCCCATTAAGGAAGTCGGGCAGCGTGTAATGACTTTCTGCCTGGCTTCCTGATTAGCCAGGAAGCTGTCTCCAGGCGACGAGGAAGCATGTATCTGGCTTTCTGATCACCAGGGATTTCCATCATTTGCAGAGTGGGACGCAGGCATCCTACATTCTTAGGAGCGTTGAATGCTGAAGCCTCAAGACAGCGGAATTCAGACTCACTGCCCAGCAGAGAACTAATTATACAAAGTCTTCTATCGCAGACAGCTTTCATGACATTTTGTTTAAGGGGCAGGGTCACGTTAAAGGACAACATCACCTTTTGCGTCTATTCACAGTGGTGTAGCAATTTTGCCTGTGACAACAAAACGTGTGAATAAGCCAGGTCACCCTTGCAGTCCTATTCATTGTTAATGGCACCCCAAATGTGCTGAGCAAGATGTGCGTTTTTTTGATGATATAAGATGTATGAAGCTGAGCCCTGAGTTGAACTTTAAGAACGACCGCACTTACCTAACTCCTGAATCAGAGATGATAATAATGAAGATCACCAACACTCACAAATGGAAGAAATCCAAAAGTTCTCTTTATTGTAGAATAAGGTCACATGTATCCAAAAGCCAATGTTTCGGGACTACGCAGGGTCCTTTCATCAGGCCCAGCATAGTGACGCTATGCTGGCCCTGATGAAGGGACCCTGCGTGGTCCTGAAATGTTGGCTTTTGGATACATGTGACCTTATCCTACAATAAAGAGAACTTTTGGATTTCTTCCATTTGTGAGTGTTGGTGATCTTCATTATTATCATCTCTGGATTTGCACGGCGCTATCCGTGGACATCACTGCAAGCACCATTGCTATTCTACAGCATTAAAGGTCCTAGGTGCCGTCTGGTTTGCAGGGGACACTTCTGCTTGCAACTCCTGAATCAGTTACCCCTTACCCAGAGATCCTGCTAAATAAATGATACCACTTCAGTAATTTCCATAAGATTGCTTTCTTTATAATAAAAATGCAAGTTTAAAGTGTATATAGAGTCATTTTGTCCAGTTTGAATAGAGTAAGCGATGGTTAACCTTTGTGAGATTTTTATTGCTGTCTAGAGCTTCACCCTCTCTGTTTATCCTGGTGACAATTGTCTCAAATCTAGAGCCATCCATGGAACAAGAACACTTCTTCTGGTGACACTGTCTAAGAGAAGATTTTCTGTGTTGAAGAGTTCTCCTCACACTTCCTGTTGGATGTCAAGACAGGAAGGAAAATCATCCCGATGGCACCCTCAGGCATACAAAGCTCCACAGGGATTTTAACCATTTGATACTTTAGCCAAAAAAGCATTTATTACAGGTAAATGGCACAGCCAATTTACACAGCACTTTACCAACATTCACATCAGTCCCCAATCAGCTTTCAATCTAAAGGTAGCCATACACTGTACAACCATCGCAAGACCTTAGTCTTGCGATGGTTGTAAAGGGATTAAAAAAACGTACGATCTGCCTATCTTGGACAGGCAGATCGCACTCTCGATCATCGCAAGCCTGCCCCCCTGAGGGGCGGGCTTCCGATGACTGCAATGCTGAACGGGCAGTGTGCGCGTGCGCACACCTGCCCGTTCAGCATTTGTCTTCCGAGCACCGTTCTAACCAGCCGAGAATCGTACGATTCCCGGCTAGTTTTCGAACATGCTGGTTCGACGGAAGACGTGCGACCGTACAGTAGAAACGGTCGCACGTCTCCGTTCACACTGCTCGATTCTCGTACGATCGCGGGATTTCCCGCGATTCTCGTACGAGAATCGAGCAGTGTATGGGCACCATAAGGTCCATATCTCACACACATACTAGAGCCAATTACTCTACCAGCACATTTTCGGAAACTCCCAGCACAGGTAGATGATTTCCTGGCTGGGATTTGAACAAGGACCCCGGGGGCTGCAAGCCAAAAACCACTAAGACACAGTCCTACCCTGTTGTTATTATTACTGCCTGTTTCCCCACTGGTAAGGGTCACCCCTCTATTTATACTGGTGACCATTGTCTCAAAACAGAAAGTGAGTGGAAATGCAACTTTTTAGAATAGTCACTGGAAGAGATTTGGGGAAATATTTAAATGCAGACATCTGTCTAAAACTGGAATTCAACTCACTTTGAGTATTCCTCTAACTTTTTTGTATTTCTGGGACAGGAGGTTAAGGAAAAATTTCCTAATGGCACACAGACAGCAACGAAAAAATCAACTTCATGTGTTTTGCAACTGATATGGGTTGTTTTTGCACACACGTATATAATATAAATTATATTTATACCACCAACATAGTCTCAGTCTCAATAGAAAAATGGCACCTTTGACAATAAATTGTTCTATGTGTAGGACAGCTTGTTATCTCCCAACTAGAGCAAATCCAACCAACTTTCTCATTGTCTAGCATATGCTGATCACGTGACACTCCTTGGCGTTTTTTGCAGCCCCACACACGAGACTACATCTCCCGGCATGCAGTGCTGTGTGTCGCGCAGGGTGACGTAAGGGAGTCGCGTTGGTTGGCTGGGAAGCTACATTTGAAAGCAGTAGAGGCGCGCTTGGAGAACGAGAACAGCCATTGACGTGTGTGTGACCTAAAGCGGAGCTTTGCGCCCGGAGAGCTGCGTGAAGGGACATCCGACTTGAATAGCCGCGCACATTATCTGTGCTCATCGTTCAGATTTCCAGGCATAGGCGCTGAGTTTTGAGGTTTGTCCCTCCCGAGGTCTCACGTGTTGGACATTGAGGCAACGTAACAGTAAATTCTGTCAGGTATTCGTGTGACTATTGGAAAGCTATATTTATAGTATACGAGTATTCAGAGTGATCGATGTGGATGATGGAGCTCCTGTGCTCCTCACATACTTTGCCATGGACGTCTTAATTTACACAGCAAAGTGTCCCTGTCATGAACCAGGTCCAGTCTCCTGACAGGGCACATAACTTCCTGAGGGAGCTGCCATTGTGCACCCCCTATAATAGGGACAGAGTCAGTGTTGTGCCCTGCTCTACGATGCTGATGGCACATTATCAGGGGAATTTATCAAAATCTGGAGCAGCTGGCAACCAATCAGCTTCTCCCTTTCATTTTCAAAGCTAAACTGAATGAACTGAAGAGAGAAGCTGATTGGTTGCTATGGGCACCTGCTCAAGATTTTGTCTGCTCCAGATTGATAAACTCCCCTCCTATGTATGCCAGGGCTCCAGCGGCAGGTCTGGCGGCTATTATGACTACCAAGAAAGTAGGCTGTGAAAGGCCTCATGGGCTGTATAATGTGTATTGTGGGATAGACATAGCCACTCATACTAGTCAATTTGTGTAAAGCCAATCACAACTATGGGCAGCTGTATGCCGCACTTTGCGTTATACGGCCTCATGCTCCCTTGTGCATATTGTTGGCCTTAATCTTCTTCAACACTTCTAGATGAAGCTAATGGCAAGCCTGCATAAGATCTATACCCTGGAATTCATGAGCGGCGATGTAGATATTCTTTAGAAATCTCTTACAGCTACCCAAGTCAGTCCACATTAGCGCCAGTTTGACTGGTATGGTGCATAACTTTTTGTGATAAAATGATTGTTTTATTTCATTGTTCTAAATCTAGCAGTAGCAGTGCCTTTTTTATTTTCCTGTAGGTTTCTCATAGGTTGTTTGACTTATGGGACCGAAATGAACAATGTAGAAATATCATGTTGTCTTCTCTGAAATGGATGGATCGATCACCAGCACTCGCAAAATCCAAAGACCTGGATCTCTCGTTCAATGCTTTATTAGACTGTCACATTTGTCATACAAGTCGATGTTTCGGGGCCACGCAGGTTCCCTTCCTTAAGGCCAGATTGTGATCCTGCGTCACAATGTCGCCCTGAGGAAGGGACCCTGCTTGGCTCCCGAGACGTCGGCTTGTATGATGATTGTGATGATTTACTAAAGCATTGAACGAGAGATCCAGTTCTTTGGATTTTGTGAGTGCTGGTCATCCATCCATTCCTGAGTACACATGGCGTCATCACTACAAGTGCCGCTACTTATGAACTTCTGGTCCATAACTGCCGTATGGAGTGACGGGGACAAACTACAACATTGTATGGCTGGCTTCTCTGACATTTCTTTTCTTCTGTCCCAGGTGAAGTGGAAACCATGAAGGCCCTAAAAGGAGCAGACTTTATAAAACTGACATCATCAACAGAATCTGTCATAAAACTGCAAACAGAGCTTAAGGTGAAGATACTGGCACATTTCTGTCATTGTGTTCAATACGTCTTTAGCAATGTCAAAGTTCATTAGTGACTGTTCAGATATTATGAAATGCATATCCATGACCAGGTAACCTTTCATGTGCAAATGTCATAGCAATGTTGGTTGCACCTAAAACCGTATGGTACAATACAAATGACTTAGAGTAACTGTACAATAAAATATCTAATTTCCCATTCATTTTGCATCACCAAATTGTGAAATCTCAATACAGGTGTCAGATGTAGGTGAACTTTGCTACTTGCCCCATTGTATGGCATTTCATGGGCTTTCTAACAAGCTCCGTACATGCTGGCTATAGAGGATGATGATTATCTTTTGATCTCATTATTCTCAATGGCCTAATTTTAAACATTTCAGGCCCTCAGCAGACCATATCCATGAGAAGTAGAAGTCCTTGGGTTTTAGTGTGACAGATGGG